GTGTTTACATCCTCACAGCTGATTTTCGGCCGATATTGGCCGAAAACGGTGACGAAGATCATCCGTTACTGTCTTGTGAGGATGTAAACGTGCTATGCCTTCTTTCTCCGGACGCATAGTATCGTGCGTTCGAGAAAAGAAGGCACGGCGTGTATATATCCTAACGACAGATTCTCCCTTGATCACAGAAAACGATGATCGATGATCTTCGGCACCATCCTCGGCCAATAACGGTCACTACGTGTGATCATGAGAGAGTCAGTGGAGTTAAACAGCCATGAAGATGTAAACACGCTGTGACTTCTTTTCTCCAACGCACTATAGAAGAAGTGACAGATATTATTTCGATGATGCAATGATTAGGGTTATTTTAGGCTATGTTTGACAGAATCTTGTCGATTTGAGATTAATTATTCTGTAGAGATGAATCAAATATGGAATCATTCGATTAGAATTTAATATACAGAAGACAGAGAAAAAGGAATCAAGTACCTCACTTTGGGGTTTATTTAGGACAACTGAAAGGATCAGGTGTCTTATCAATTTAGCATTCATCATTCTTAGACATTTAGTAAGCTCATACCTCAAGTTCCTGAAATAGAATATTAATGTCAATGTATTTCTGAGGATGGTCTGAGACACTTGGTCAGGGTCTACTCTGCTAACGAACGATTTACGACAGGAACCTGGACTAGTTCCAAGTCATGCTATCACCAAAAGAGATATTCGTATGAACGGAACACAGGATGTCACTTGATAACTGATGACTCAAAGCATCGTAACTACCGGGTGTCGAAGAAACAATCGTTTGCAGAATGTAAAAGAAAATTCAAAGATGGCGAGCAACTCTAGGTTCTATTTCCTTATGCAGAAGAGGAACTTCGTCCTGGAGGATTTGGCTTCATAATAGAGAAGTTGAAGTCACCTTCTGGCAAGAGGACCGTCATGAGATTTGGGCCCACAATTTGGGCATGCCGCGGGGGGCACCGGTCGCGTTCGCGAGAGATCCCGGAGCTACCCCAGTGCAGCGAGGATAGCCTCCATAGGGGTTTTAATGAGTACAAATCTCACACATAGTCTCGTCCCCTCCCCCAGGGGCGGGGTATCTTTCGACGATTTCTCCCACGTAAAAAAAGGAAAAAAAAAAACAGAAGAAAGAGGACCGTGATGAACCTGTAGGGGGTCCCCTCCCCTACAGTGATTGGTCATTGAATGTCATTGAAGTCGGCTGGTCGCAGTTATTCTCGTGTGGCGGTGGCGCTAGAAGGGACAAAAGGAAAAGGAAGGGATGCGTTTCATCCCGGGCCTGCTAGGACTCATCAGTAAGGCTTACCCTAGCAGGCCCTGCCTTAGGCCGGGATAATATTGGAAGTCATATGTATAGGAACTGGAGGTTTTCCGAGGACTTGCGAAAAATCCCTCGAAGTCGGAATCTATCTAGTGACGAGGGTGAGAATGATGGTCGTTACAAACCCCACTATACTTATTCTAGAACCCCTCTAAACAAATCGTCAAAATCTATAACAAGCGAAAGGATTAAATATTAAATATCATTAATGCTTACCAATCCAGTAATATACAAATCGAAATAACAGAGAAATATGTTAGGAACCGACGAAACTATACTAAACGTTAACTAACATAGCAAACCAATAAACAACGCATATGTACGTGCTGCAAGCTGAATTCACGTACAGATTCAATTTCAACGACCTTCCGTTCTCCGTTTAATGCAATTAAACTTATGGCCGGTACTGTATATGAGATAGAGAGAGTAACTCCAACTGCTCTGCATGTAAGTGGAGTCGAAGGTCAGGGGGTACCTACGAGCAAGGAAGACGGAAGCGGATCGAAGATCAGAGATAGAGATATGGAAATGGAGAGAGGAAGCGAATCGTTGGTAGCATGCCAAAGAACGGACGATTTACATAGCGATTATTAGATTTGCTCTCCATGTGTTTCACGTTCGACTTTATTCTGCGACAGTCGGGGTAGGGGGGGGGGGGTCAAAAAGTCAATCCTCTATGTTGAAAAAGGAACGAATAGCCAGTAGCTCAGGTTGGTCGTTAGGTCGACGAAAATATTGACACTCGGCCCAACAGTTGACAGTGGCTCGACTGTAGCTTATAAGCGTCTTCTATTTGCCGTAATAATGGCAAAGAAAAAGTTATCGTAAATATAGGTCGCCAGAGTGTTTGACTTTTCAACTGTCTAGGCTGACTCTGCTCTGTTATATATCCGTGACGGAAAGGAAGTCGTCCAATAGCTAGCTGCTGCTTTATTTACACGTCTACACGGTATCTTTGGGCGACCGAAAAGGCTACCTCCAGCTGGCTGAGTTTCTCTAATAAGCCACGAGGGAGCTATTGTTTGGTGGTTTTGGGCTGATCGATCGTGTAGGTTCAGAGCTATTTTCAGGTTCTTCAAAAGAAAATCCGGAGATTTAATTTATTATTGTTTTTGTTCTTGGATGTATTTGTATCTTTGAAGCGTTTGGGGCCTTTGGTGTAGCTAGAATATGTCTGTGAACTGGTTGAGGTAGCCTTGAACGAATTTGTGTCTTTGAAACGTTGGAATTACCTTTCTAGTATTGCTGAAATATGCGTTTGTGAGTTGGTCTGACTAACCTTGGATGGACTTGTGTCTTCCATTCCTTTGGGTCCCGCTCTTTCATTGTTAGAACTTCAAACAGATGTATACCATTGAAATTTTTTCAGTTTTCTTTTTGATATTGCTAGGATATGTATCTATGATATGCTTGGGACAATTTTGAGAGGATTTGTATCTTTGAATCGTTTGGATTCCCTCTTTAATATTGCAGGACTGTGTGTCTATGAGTTTCTTGGGGTAGCCTAAGCCATAGTCTATTTTTCTCTTTCTGGTATTGCTAAAATATGCGTTTTTGAATTGGTTTGACTAACCTCCAATGGACTCGTGTTTTCCAATCCTTTGGGTCTCTCTTAGTATTGTTAGAACCTTGAATATATTTGTATTATTGAAATATTTTCAATTTTCTTTCTGATATTGCTATGATGTGCATCTATGATTTGATTGGGACAACTTTGAGTGGATTTGTGTCTTTGAATCGTTTGGACTCCCTCTTTGACATTGCAGGACTATGTACCTCTGTGAGTTTCTTGAGGTAGCCTAAACCATAATCTATTCTTCTTAGGTGTTTCTTAGGAAATGCTCATAAATATTGTGCTTAAGAATGACAGCTTCCCTTGCCATAAATTATAGTGATTCTCTATCCTCAATGCTATTAGGATGATCTGTGGAACATTGTATACGATTGCTTTTTGGAGATTGAAGATAGCTTAGGTTTATGGTGGTCATTTGATGGTTGAAGCTTAGCAAATCTATGGTGATATTCTGCAGATGTGTCGATTATTTGTGCAATCGTTAAAGTTGAGATTTTTATCAGTCTAGGTCCATTCTCTTCGATATTTGACAGATGCTTCAGTAGAGCATGAATAATAAGACCTATGAGATAACAGTCATTTTGCACAGAGAAGAAGCGAAAAGTATTATATTCAAGAAAAAGAATGAGCAAATAACTATTATACGATGTTCTCAAATAAAAATGAAACCAAAATTTAGATTACATTTTCGGTTTTAAAATTGAATTCTATATTTTTCCAAATATCTACGAAGAGACATAAACTGAAACCAAAATTTAGATTGCTTTTTGACATTCAGTCCATGTCTCTTCGTAGATATTTAAAAAAATATAGAATTCAGTTTTTAATTAATCTGGAATCTATTATTCGATTTATTCCGTAATAATATGATAAAATTGTAAATATTACGAGGAATAATTTTCTGATGTTGTTGTAAAGTCTCCATGAGAAACAAGAATGATATCAAACGTTTCCAAGCATAATGAAACGTGAAGTTTCGCTTTTCAATTCTTCCTGTTTCAAACTAACGATGTGCATATGGAACATTTTTCCTGGAATTTTTGTTTCAGTCGAGAGAATACGGAACAAGAGAGGCACGCAAACGAATTTATCCTGCTCGTGCGTTAATAATCGACTATAACTACGTTAGCATCAATTGATAAACGTTCACAAGTGCACGGGCACCAGTTTCAAAAATTAAACGAAACAGTTTTCAACTCGCAGCACGTTGGTTTTGTTTCCCTTAAGATAGCTCGTGTTTTTCACTCTAAACGTTACTGTTTTTGGAAAAACACTACAATATAGCAGTCACTATAATTTCTCAGATAAATTGCAGGAACGATATATTGTTTAAAATTTCTTTTAATATTTTAATTTTACTGTACATCAAAGTTTCTTTCAGAAAAATATTATATTCATTAATATTATATTTACCTTAATTCGAGCTGGAATTGATTAAATCTTACTGAAAATTATTCATACTTTATAATATAAATTCTGGTATAAAATTATATATAACTCTTGAAACATTTAAATTTAAATCAAATTCAAATTCAATTGATCTAATGGTATACTGTATACCTCCATACAATACAAATATAAATCTAATATAAATTAACGTGGATGTTAATGATCCACAAATAAAGGCCAATATAAAATAAATAAACAAATAAATAAGTAAAAATGAGAGTAACAAAATTCCTAAAAAAAATACTATATCAGACAAACAGAACACAGACACCACAAAAATATAAACACTTCCAATTTCCTAACGAAATGACGTTTTAATCAACACAAAGTCTCCACAGTTGTCGTCACTTACACCTAAGTTCAGTGAGGTTGAAAAATCATGTCACGTACAGACCAGACCCATTCGTCATGTGAATTCCAGCGAGCTAGACACATTTATAACGAATATCACGTCACCCGTAGGTTCCCTGAAATCGACGATCTCTCCCAGAGTCTCCGCCGTTACGAGGCGCAGCTTCAATTAGATCTCGCGCCTCCGCATAAATAACAGCGCGAGAGCACGTCTAATTCGAGGCGACGATGCTTCGTTTTAAACACCGTGCTTATGGAGAAAATAATTTTCTTCCGTAGATAGTAACGCCGCAACCCGATTCAGAAGCAACCGGATCGGATACGCCGGATGAAGGCGGAACCCCCTTCAGCAGATGGAGGCACATAGGAAGCGGCGTGATACGGGACGGTGAGTTGCATTAAACTATTTGTATTCGATACACTAATTTCGTATCTTCGACAACCGTGATGTCTTCTTACTTTTGAGAACACGCGATCATACGAAATTTATATACCGAATATTATGGAATATTTTTTATATTATTGTGTATATTTTGTGTTCTGTTTATTATATTACACTATATTATATAAGACTAGAACTATCAATCCAGTCGAAAAGACTGGTCTCGAAATTTTCCTTTTTGCAATTGCTTGAAACATATAGATGTTTCTAAAAAAATTAATGTCGACTTATATTGAAATAGAACTATACTTGAATTATATATTAATTATAATAGAACTATACTATTATAAAATATTGGTAAAATTACTATTATCTATACCCGTTATGTTTAGGTGTCCATTGAGAATCAGTAGTTCTACTGTTAAAGAGATCAAACTCATAGGTTAAAAGCTAGAAATCTATTTTGAATTTTGAAAATTTAGCAACAATCGAGTTTTTTGATATTGAGAGTTTGAAAAGTTTTATAGGTGTTATATTAGCATTATATAACAATATATAACAGTATGTTATATTAATACGATGTATAAAAGTATTAATGTTAATGGCTTACGTGAAATAATTAGTATATGAAATATTTTTTAAATGAAATTTTAGCCATTCCTAAATTATTCAGAATTTTGTATGTTTAGGTAAACTAATTTTCATGTGATCTTACACGTTCTTTTTCTTCAAATGGTTAATTAATTGCGATATTTTAGATTTGTAAATTATAAATTCTGAAATTGGAAAGTCCTTTCAATTTTCTTCTGAAAATTTCTTCGTAAAGATAATTCATTTATGGGTAAAGAATTGGCCAGATGTTTGGCGAAATGAACATCCGTGGGTGTAAGATTGGAGGAATAGAGGCTACGTGACAGAATTTCGTATTCTAGACCATAATCCTTTCTCTACTGTGGAATACGTGGCAGTATGCTACAGCTATGTGGCAGAATTAAGTCATGGAATTACATTTTTAGTTATTTCAAATTAATACGCAACCAATTATAAACAGATAGGAACTAAGAGCTTTAATTTGCGTAATAACCTGATTTATTTTCTTTTATTATTCCAATTATTTATTTGCTTGTAATATATTGTTATCCTACTTATAATTCCAAATTGTAGAGAATTTTACTGCAATATTTTGCAGATGATTTAATACGAACAATCCCTGTTACCTTGTTCGAGTGAAAATGGTTCTGGGAATTATTTGACAAATATTGCTGTTCGAAAGTTAGGGATTATCTACTTTAGAATAATCTGCTTTGATTCGAAGCTGATGGCTTAGTATAAGAGACATTTGATATTTCATCTGCGATGCACGAGTAAGCGTTTGAGATATTTGCAGAAATTAGTATTATTTATCACTTCTTAAGCGATAATTAAAAAATCATACTTCTTAAAAGTATAATTATAAACGAACATATATATATAAAGCAAAGCAATATATATTACCTGAGTTCTTTTTTACATAATAATTGCAGGTAGGATGACCCATCCAATGTGGAGGCCATTTTGTAGTTAATACGTCTGAAATGTTGAATGAATAATTCATTAATTAATCAATGTCATATTTGCATAGTTATTGTTATTATTATCAATTAAGAATTTTAATATCAATTTCAAATTAATGCGTGTTTAATTAATGTTTTATCTTAAACAAATTATCTCGAATCTTAAAAGTAACTCCTTTCAGTCTCCATCTTTTCAACAATCTAACTAAAACGGAAAGCAAATAAAAAATTGAAAGCTTTCAATTCCAAAAATGTCCGAAACACAATACCCTCTAGCTTGCCTCGTCGACCAAGCAGAATTGGACAAACCCAGACGAATAAACTAAAAATTCTAGCAATCCCGGGAAACAGTTCTGTTTTACAGTCTCCACGCACCAACCTAACCATTAACGAGCTCTAACACCTTTTTCCCTCTGGTTCGTTATCTCCATTGTCGTCCACACTGTATTTCGACAAGTCTCGTTTCAACGAGGAAGCAACAAGAGGCAGCGGCGTGTCGCTGGCTAACGCTCCCAAACGGAACAAACTCGCATAAATAGCGGGCTCGTTTTTTACTTAATTACTGTCGGGTCGCGTTTAAACGCTGAAAAAGAGGGGAAGCAAAAGGGGGGAAAAAATAAACGTCGAGCGGGAAAGTGAGAGCCCGAGGACAATCGCGAAACGACGGATTTCCTCTTTCCTTTGCTCACTTTCTTCCTTCTCCATTTTCCTCCGTCACCCCCTCTTACAATTTTTCACCACTTCTCGCTCCGTCTCTTTCTTCCACCAGTCTCGTTCGGAGCCAGAACAATTTGCTCGGAATTAAGCGACGGACAAGCATAATTCATTCGACGCTGGTCGACACGCGAGATGCATTTGCAATTTCAACCCACGCGGTTCCCGTTACGAAGTTCACTCTTCTTGTTTTTCCCGTTTCTCACGGTCGCGAGCCACGCGTTCTCTCCTTTATTCCGTCAGGCGATGCGAGTTTCGAAATTCCCGCCATCTGGGACGGGGAGTCACCGATACGTGTCCCCCTGCGCAGCGAGCCAAGTGTTGGCCACCGAGAGAAGCGCTCGTGACGGCTCTCAAAGTGGTATAAATCGAGTAATTTTTTGATACAGCGGGTCTCAAAGTGGCGATCGTTAGACGTCAAAGGGATGTTTTAATCGGTTTAATTGGTTCAGTCGCCCGGAAAGCGCGGGTTCTATGCTTTTAACGTCTCGTTTTTCATTTTTTTCATTTTTTTTTTTTTTAGAATTGCTAAAGAGGACGATGTGGATCTTGGAAATCTGTGTTGAAGTGCTTGGTTTTGAGATAGTAGGGGTTTATTCGTGATGCGGTTCCTGTGTTCTTGCAAGTGAAAATGGACAAGTGAATAGACACCATGAATTTGAATAGGTTGAACAGTTTTCTGGTCTTTGCGAGCTTGTACAAAAATATTTACAATTATATTGTATTAATATTTAATTTTGAACTATTATTTTATGAATAAAAATGTTGTAGTACTAGTTTCTTATAATTTGATAAAAACAAATTGAGGAATGGAAGAAGCTTCATGGAAACAGTTTCATTTTCGCGAATATTAAGTAATATCTTGATTTTCTGCAATTTTAAGAGCCTCTTTTACTATTATTAAATTTATTTAAAGTAAAATGAATTGTAAGATCCTTTAATTTTAGAAGATTAACTTTTCTCTCGTAGCTACAATGCTATTTAGATAAGAAAGCTGTAGTCGTTGGGATTTCAGATTTGTGGAATCGTTCTCCCACGCGAAACAAGGAAATGGACATTTAAAATTGGATTATTCTGTATTTAGCATTGAAGAGAACAATTTCAGCAAATTGATTAATTTCTGTTTAATTATAGTATATTAAAGTGTATATAATTCTATTGTAGTCGTGTTTCAGATTTTGAAATTTTATGACCCAGTTCCTCTCAGCATTATACGACCCAAATTAAAAATATGAATTTCATAAAATCCTTTTCTCCTCTTCCCTTTATCTTCATTAAATATATCCCATTATTTTTAAATATAATAATTTCAATAATATTATCATCAACCCCTTGATACCCTAACTTCTACTCTATTACTTAAACTGAGTATACAAAATGATATAATCTATGAAATCTTGTAATAATAATTTTAATTTAATTTGTCTGTCTTCAAGTAATACAGAAAATTCTTCCAAGATCCATCTTTTCATCTATTTTAATAACAATTCATACTAATTTGAATCAGTAGATGCAACTCTGTTTAACGAAGACGAATAACAAAATAAATCAGAAAACTTTATTAAGAGTTTTCACTCAAGATACGCCTATGCTATCCGATAACTCTAACCTGCCAGCGATTCATATTCTTTAACTACGTCCAAAATTAGTTAGAAATTCACTCTTAACGGACCAACTATTAATCATATCCTTTATCTCCTCGTCTGTTTTAATAAGCTATCCTCGGCGATTCAGCTCGATGGGAAACGACCCGCGTCAGCCAAACGGTTCTCCATTCATTTTTGAGAACCGGATGAGCAGAAAGTTGCTCCCGATACCAAACGGCATTCCATCCTCAAGAAAATTGCTTCCCAGACCTTCCACCTATTTTTGTCAAACGATGCAACGTCCTGCAACGTTCTCCAGCGACATTGTTACGCTGAAAGGCGGTAACAAGGGACAGATCGCCGAGGGCGTCGCAGCGACGTTAATTTAACGAAAAATTATTGACGACGAAAAGATGGGACACGGATATCGGATACTCGAGAGAGAGAAGCGGAAAAGACAGACTCAATTTGTATCGGGAAAAGGAAACGATTCCTTCGAAAAATTTGCTCCCGTAGTCAGACAGATATTTGCAATTTCGACGAGTTCCTCGTCTCCTTCAACGTAACCGGCTAACCTACTTTCAGACGATGCTCGCTCTCTTCGTTACAGTCTTTCTCATCGAATTTACCAAATGAAATAAACTACCCAACTCCGTTGTCGAGGAAACAGTTTTCTTTCGAGACGCGACGTATTCTTCTCGCGGACGCCCGCCATTTTGTTCTCGCGCGTCACGGCAGCCATGTTGAAAACCTGTCGATTAAACGACGAAATTCTTTCTCGTTTTTCTTTCCGGTTTGCTGTCGGAGATTCCTCGTTTCTTTTCACGGGGTATGGGATAGGATCCTTCGTTGGATTATTGGTTCGAACACGGTTTACGACGTTCGAGTTACGTTGTTTCGACTCTCGTGCTAGGGCTGAGGTTAGGAACGGAACTTAGGTGGAAGTGATGAGTGGTTTAGATGGAGTGTTAAATTCGATTATTGATTTTTTGTTTCGCAATTGAGAAATATAATTTGTAAATGGAAAATATTAAGAGCAGTGAATCTTCTGTGATTAATTATTGTAGAAATAAATTAATTTATTTATGAAAGGTGAAGGTCGTACTTCATTACATACTTTTATTTCCTATTTAGTCTTTAGGAATATGTTCCT